CTCACCCAGCCTCCTCGGCCTCCATCCCTTCACGGTCCGACCACGCTCCACGTCCACCCCCTCACATCATCTACTCACCCCCTCCCCCCCCACACACACACCCTGTACTCACCCAGCCTCCTCGGCCTCCATCCCTTCACTGTCCGACCACGCTCCACGTCCACCAGCACACGACGCCCGTCTATCTTCTTGCCGTCCGCATGTTTGTACGCCGCTGTGTACAGGAGGAGGAGAGGAGGAGGAGGAGGAGGAGGAGGAGAGGAGGAGAGGGAGGAGGAGGAGGAGGAAGAGGAGAGGAGGATGAGGAGGAGAAGGAAGAGGAGGAAAGGAAATGGCGAGAAAAGATGATGAAAGAATGAAGAAGAGAAGGAGAAGAAATACAGATTTCAGAAAGAGAAGAGCAAATAATGAAGAGAGCAGTTGCAGAAAGTAAAGGAAAAGTCAGAAAATGAAAACGTAGACGAAAGAAGAGAAAGAGAGGAAGAAGAAAAAAAACGTAAGTTAGTACAAGAAATAAACGACACGGCAATATCATTATATGGTCAACTCTCAAATCACATCAGAGAAAACCTCAAACTTCCCACAACCATCGCATCTGGCACAATCAGTCTGAACAAATAGTTCCTGTACAAATAGTTCTAGATCTTTCTGGAAAATTCCTTCTCACCACCAGGTTCCTCAACGACAAAATGTGTCAACACTTACCACGCGACATTTGATTTGACCTTGTTCATTCAGGCGTTAAGCCCTTACGCTTTTCTGACACTGGAAGTTTGAGACTGGCTTAAATGTGGGGAGATTCAAACCCCAGCCCTTCAGTAGTGACCAGCGGAGATAGCACTAGGCTTCAAAGTGACCTGTCCAGACAAGATTCACTCGTGCCACCTGTCAGTCCCACAGTGGGGTAGTGGTCAGTCCGGCCGGACCTCCGCTGGTCATCACTGCGGGGCATGGACAATACAATGTGTGTGTGACAGGGGGAGAGGATGAGAGAGAAGACCCCTCCCCCACATCAATAAGATGACGTGACCCGTGAACTGTGACCTCTGACACAATGAGAAGACGGAGAGAAGATGAGTGAGATGATGGATGGCTCGTGAACTATGAATTCCGACACGATGAGATAATGGAGAGATAATGGTAGGGGATGAGATCAGATGATGGGCAACCTGTGACCTGTCGCTACACCTGTCCCTGACTGACCACACCGGACACTTGACCAGGCAGAACAGGCCATCTTCCGGCACACACACCCCCACCCCCCGGCCCACAGATCTACTACTGAGACTTCCCTACATCTCTCATCTCGTGCCCTTAGCTACAGACCAAGCGGCAGTCACAGACTGTACCACTGGCTCTATTAACTCTGGACAGTCCCACAAACTGCTGGAGCAAAGGTCACAAGGTGAGCGGGGGTCACAGACAGGTCACGGCAAAGGTCACTTCTAGAGACCAGCCCACACAGAGACAAAACTTTCCACATTTCAGCCCTGGGGGTCCTCGCTAACTGGGAGCTTATGCCATGTTTTGGGCTGTCCTTTATGGCAGTGAATAAATACTACATTGGAGAAACATGGTGAGTGCTACTTCTGATGATAATTCTGGGGGGAGCAGGGGGGAGCTTTAAGTTTGACCCAAGCTAGGGCAAAGATTGGCTTGTCTCCTTCCAGCGTCCAGAAGTGACCAGTGCCCAGTGCCGGCGACCGACACAGACAGACAGACAGACAGAGAGAAAGAGAGAGAGAGAGAGAGACACACCGTCCTGTTCGTCTGTTGCTTCCTTCTCTCTGGCCGGCTCCTGTGGGAAACTTACCTCCATCAACCAACAAGTATTAGTATACAAACATACAAAAATACATACATACATACGTATGTACATACAAAGAAACCAAAGTCACGTGACACACATGAGCAGTACTGGAGGAGGAGTGGACGAACGGGGGAAAAACCCAATCATCAACACGTGGGAAGGGGGAGGGAGGGGTCCACCTGAAAGAGAAACGTGGTTAAAGACTGACACACTGCCTGTACACACAGATAAACACACAATGTATGTACACACAGACAGACACATTGAATGTACACACAGACACATTGAATGAACACACAGACAGACTTCACTGCCTGCACACACAAACTCTTACATCAGATGGGTTAAGGGAGGACTCACTGGCTACGTACGTTCCAAACGGGGTTTTTTCTTTTGGTTTTTGGTTTGTCTGTGTTTCCCGTGGTCTGTTGTGTGCGGGTTCTTCTGTCATACCTACCCACCTATCCACTTGTATACCTACCCATCCCGCTGCTTGAGAGCTACCTTATGGTCAAGTGTAGGTGGCTAGAGTGGAGGAAGTGGTAGTGGTTGTGGTGGTGGTTGTGGTGATGTCTGCTGTGTACTGGTGGAGGCTGACCGTAGCCACTCGGACAATGGTCAGTCTACCAGGCCAGCGACGTGCGTGTGGGTGTGCACAACACAGGTGGAGGGGGGGGGGAGGAGGAGGGAGGAGGGAGGAGGGGAGGAAACAACTGCATCATGTGTCCAAAAACACACAAAACCACAAGAGACTTACGCTAACCTACCAACCACCGTGCACGAAGAGGCGCGGTTCGAACCAGCCTTTCTCTTACCACCACACCCCATCTCTTCTCTCTGTCTGTGCGCGAGTGTGTGGGGGCTCGTCTAGGGCAGTCTGTCCGCCGTGAGGCACCAGGGACTTACCCGACAACTTACCCGTACTCACATCCTCTGCCAGACCATATCATGCTTGCAAGTTACAGTACAGGGACGGGGAGGGGACCCGGAGAGGAAAAGGGTAGGGGTGGGGGGTGTCACCCCGAGCAGGAAAAGAGAAAAAAAGAGAGAGAGCACCCAGAGAGGAAAAGAGAAGGGGGGGG